TAAAACTTCGCTATACAGGGCTGCCTTAAGATGTCTTCTAAAAGTCAGATAGTTGTTTCTTTCCTTGACATTTTTTTTTTGGGGTGGGGGGATGTTGCAGATATTAATATTGCACAGTTTGAAGTGACTGGAAGCAAAAAGAACTGATTCCTTTTGGAAGAAATCAGTGTCCAGGCCCATAATAATACTATTCAAAGTTTTACTGGCCGAACTCTTCAAAAACAGAATATAGGCATTAAAGATACAAACAAATTATACATACAGTGTATTGTGCTGCCCAGCACAGGCTCAGAATCTTAGAAAATATGAAATAATTCAAACAGACCTAGAAGCAGAGGTCTGTCTCTCCTCCATTGGCCTTAGGCTGTTTCTCTCCCTTCAGGAGAACTGCGTTTTCATCCTCACTCCATGGAGTTTGAGAGACAAGGACTAAAGGCAACTCTCTATCAAAGTGAAGATTTGCAATTCAATACCTTCATCACATGGTCAAAGGTTCACTCTCAGCACAGAGTAAAACACAAATCAACAGTTATTCATTAACCCATTAAGGAGCTCAGAGTCCTTTAGAAAACAACTGAAGAAAACCCCCAATGTTAAACCTTTTCACCAATATATAGTTAGGCATTCTCATTTCAGTGTCAGTTAAGCCATTATACTTCCGCAAGTTTTATACACCGTGTTAGAATTGTAATTGTTACCATCTTGTTGTATCCTTCAGTATCCTCTGTGAGCGTCAGTATTGATATTGACAAGCCTTCCCATTCCTTGACTTCTGTTTTCTGATCTTCTGATTTCTTGGTATCTTCCTCTACTGCACCTACCCTTAAATATTGCTATGGCCTTGATATCGTCTTCCTTCTGTTGAGTCCTCCATCTTCTGGTGTTTCTTCTTCTTCATTTGTGGCAATAAGGACTAGAGCCTGGATCAAAAAACCTACCAGGTTCAAAAACTGAATTCCTGTAGTGGAATAGTGGATGCATGTAGCAAATGAATTCATATGATTTCCTACCTTTGAGTGGGAAGGGCCACATAATTTGGGCTTCTGGAGGTAATATAACCAGAAAGACTAGTAGCTATTGATAGCCTTGTCCTCCACAAGTCCAGTCTCAACGAACCATTTTGTGCATTGTGCAGCTTTTTCTTGGTAAGGTTGCTCAGCTAGCAGCTGAGAGTAGCCTGGGCATCACATAAAAGCTACATATCCACAGCCAGCATATTGCATAAAAGTGTTGAATGGTTGGCTAGTACAGATCTAGCCAGACCCACCCTAGTTGAAAAGGTATTTGATAACAATTATGACAGGCTTGTGCCTGACTGTGAATTTGTGTTCCCTTGAAGGTCCTGTGGATGTCAGTATTCTGGCCAAATGTAGTCCCTGCTTATCAAACCCATGCAAAAATGATGGAACTTGTAATAACGACCCTGTCGATTTCTACAGATGCTCCTGTCCCTATGGCTTCAAGGTATGGAGAACATATGAAGGTCATTTTTTTATTTTATTTTACTGGGAACCCATATTTCAGGCTAAGCCATGCCATTGGTCCATGTAGCCTAGTACTTTGGGATCACAGGTTGAACTTCCATCCTATAGGCCAAGCACATGCTCTGCCATTGGGTTTTGGAGAGTGAGAGAAGCAAGATTAACAGCAGGGTGGATAATTGTATAAGGTAAAGGACCCCTGGACAGTTAAGTCCAGTCAAAGGCGACTATGGGGTTGCGGTGCTCATCTCACTTTCAGACCAAGGGAGCTGGCGTTTGTCCACAGACAGCTTTCCAGGTCATGTGGCCAGCATGACTAAACTGCTACTGGCACATGGAGGACCATGACGAGTACCAGAGCACATAGAAACACAGTTTACCTTCCCACTGCAGTAGTACCTCTTTATTTACTTGCACTGGTGTGCTTTTGAACTGCTAGGTTGGCAGAAACTGGGACAGAGCAACAGGAGTTCACCTCATTGCATGGATTCGAACAGCCAATATTCTGATTGGCAAGCTGTATATAACTGTGTTATTTTAAAAGAATAAACCAATTTGCCTTCCCTCTGTGCAATCTCACAACTTTGCTGTTTTATTCCTAGGGCCAGGACTGTGATGTTCCAATTCATGCCTGCATTAGCAACCCTTGTAAACAAGGAGGGACTTGTCACTTAAAAGAAGGTGAAAAGGATGGATTTTGGTAGGTTTTTATCTGGAAACACAGAAGAGAAGCCTGTTGCTTTTGAAAGACTAGTCAGACTAGCAGAACCCAAGCAGTCCCACACAAAAGTCTATGTGTGCTATTAGTAATCTTTGATCCCACAAAGTAATGAGAAGCGAGGACTATTAATAAGCACAAAAGCACAAACACATAATGGTGGTTCTTCTAAGGCTTCAGGAAACAAAGTAACATCAATGAGCTTAATGTTCTCTGTTAAGTTTTTCTTTTAAATACGTTGTTATTAGTCAAGGCATAACAGGGCAAGACAACATGGTGTTGACTCTATTATGCTAATTAATTGCTAGCTAGATCCCTGCTGGAAAGACTCTCAATTCAGCTGTTGTTCTGTGCATTATATCAACAGACAGCCTGTAAATGATCAGATGTAAATCCCAGTGAAAGAGAAAATTAATGATTCATTGCCAAATCAGCACGCCAGTGGATAAACATGCTGTGAGCATTTTTAATCTAGAGTTATTTAATCACACACTACAATTACCCGAGATGTATTCCATGAATTATGAAATAGAGTTCTTTAATAAATGGATCCAATAATTTCAAATAAGAATGCTGATCCATTCTTCTATCTAGTTAAAAACCTTCTTGATTCCTGCTTTTCATTAAGAAATTATCTTTAATTTTACATCTAAATTTTGGTCAAAGGTTAGAGTGCTTTCTGTTTGAAATTAATCTGATGCATTTTAATACCATGGTAAATTAACATTTAATCACAGCTTCAAAGGACTAAAATGAGCAAGAAGCACTTCAGAACACGTTAGTTTGGTGGGACTTAGGCAGGGAAAGTTAGTAAATGTATCCAGAGTATTAGCTTACCATATTGTTCACCATGAATGCATTTTGTCACCAGCACCCAATACAAACCAGGAGTAAATAAATTTAAATACAATTTATTCCCCAAAGAAGCTAAATTCCTTAAGTAGTGAGGTTTCAGCTCCCCTCTCTCTGTGCGTTTATATATATTCATTCCATAACATGCTACCATGTTTGAAATACATACGCACATGAATAAAGTACCAGTTCAGAACCAATTCTAGTATTGCTTCTGCAATAAATGAAACAAAACTTCCATTTAACTTAGTGTTCCCTAGTTACCTTCACTTCACCTTGCCGACAAAGACATCACCTTGCCGACAAAAGTCCATATAGTTAAAGCTATGGCTTTCCCAGTAGTGATTTATAGAAGTGAGAGCTGGACCATAAAGAAGGCTGATCGCTGGAGAATTGATGCTTTTGAATCCTGGTGCTGGAGGAGACTCTTGAGAGTCCCATGGACTGTAAGAAGATCAAACCTATCCATTCTGAAGGAAATCAGGCCTGAGTACTCACTGGAAGGACAGATCCTGAAGCTGAGGCTCCAATACTTTGGCCACCTCATGAGAAGTGAAGACTCCCTGGAAAAGACCATGATGTTGGGAGAGATGGGGAGCACAAGGAGAAGTTGACTACAGAGGACGAGATGGTTGGACAGTGTTCTCGAAGCTACTAACATGAGTTTGACCAAACTGCGGGAGGCAGTGGAAGACAGGAGTGCCTGGCATGCTCTGGTCCATGGGGTCATGACAAGTCGGACACGACTTAACGACTAAACAACAGCAAAGTTACCTTCCAATTTTCAGAAATTCCCCAGTTTTCACTATATATTTTGTGCTATGTTTTATGTTTGACAAATTTCTGTCATGGGTTCATCAGCACCAAAACAGGTCAGTGGTATAAAAAGCAGCATAAATGATGCTGAGAGACATCAAAGGGCAATAGGAAGTACAGTTTAGATTCTCACGGCGTGAATACAGAATCTTTTTATTTATGTAAGAACGTATCTGTCCTGGGGGATTAAGTCAAAGGTCCATTAGCTCAGCATCGTCTTCTCACATAAACACTTGTCTGAAAAGGTTTCTCATTTACAGGTGTGCCTGTGCAGATGGATTTGAAGGTGAAAACTGTGAAGTGAACGTCGATGATTGTGAAGATAATGATTGCGAAAATAACTCAACCTGTGTTGATGGAATTAACAACTACACTTGCCTGTGTCCTCCCGAGTACACAGGTAGGAAAAGGGGAAATGATACTCTTAACAGCATTTAGCATGCTAATGCGTTTGAATCACTTTTATTCTAGTTTGCTTGACTTTGCAATACCTTTTAGGAGTCTGTTCATTTAGCCTTTTGTTTAGCTGCTCTTGGCATTCTTACAAGCATCGCTTGATAACGGAAAATGTAGAGCCTGGAAAAGCGAAAAACTGAAATAAGGAACATTCCATTTTTCATTATTCCCTGATTGAACACACTGCAATTGATACTGCACTAAAATTGCTAAATAATTACTGTATTTTTCGCTCTATAGGACACACTTTTCCCCCTCCAAAAATGAAGGGGAAATGTGTGTGCCTCCTATGGAGCGAATGCAGGCTCCTCGGCTTCGCGGCGAGGCGCCTGACCTGGAAGCCGGAGGAGGAACAGAAGGGACTCCTGTTCCTTCTCCAGCTTCGCTGAAGGGCGCTGCACCTTCTCCCTCTCTGCGTGGCACCTCTCCTGTGAAGGAGAGGCGCTGCACAGAGAGGGAGAAGGCGCAGCGCCCCTTGAGCGGTGCGCCTGTCCAGCGAAGCCCGAGGAGGAACAGAAGGGTCTCCTGTTCCTTCTCCCGCTTCGCAGCGACGCGCCTTTCCAGCGAAGCCGGAGGAGGAACAGAAGGGTCCCCTTCTGTTCCTTCTTCAGCTTCGCTGAAGGGTGCTGCGCCTTCTCCCTCTCTGCGCAGCACCTCTCCTGTGAAGGAGAGGCGCTGCGCGGAGAGAGAGAAGGCACAGCGCCCCTTCAGCAACGCACCTGTCATGCGAAGCAGGAGGAGGAGCAGAAGGGTCTCCTTCTGTTCCTTCTCCCGCTTCGCAGCGATGCGCCTTTCCAGCGAAGCAGGAGGAGGAGCAGAAGGGTCTCCTTCTGTTCCTTCTCTGGCTTCGCTGAAGGGCGCTGCGCCTTCTCCCTCTCTGCGCAGCACCTCTCCTGTGAAGGAGAGGTGCTGCGCGGAGAGGGAGAAGGCGCAGCGCCCCTTGAGTGGCGCGCTTGTCCAGCGAAGCCAGAGGAGGAACAGAAGGGTCTCCTTCTGTTCCTTCTCCAGCTTCACTGAAGGGCGCAGCGCCCTCTACCACTCTGCGCAGAGAGGGAGAAGGCGCAGTGCCCTTCAGTGACGCGCCTGTCCTGGCTTCTGCTTTAGCCCTGCGCAGCCTCTTCGGGCAGGGGGAGCCTTCATCCCGCTGCCCTGAAGAGGCTTGGCACGGTTATCCCAGAAGCCAGAACAGCCACACGGTATCCCAGAAGCCAGATCCCTCTTGCTGTTCTGGCTTCTGGGGTTCAGAATAAGTTTTTATTGTTTTCCGCCTCCCAAAACTAGGTGCGCCCTATGGTCCGGTGCGCCCTATGGAGCGAAAAATACGGTATGTTCCAGAAATTATTGGAATCCAGAAGAACCATTTTTCTGTATTCTGTTTGTTGCATAACTGCACCTCCATAGTTTTCCTTTCACCCATGCAATTCTCTTTCACCAAACTGCAAACTCTTTATGAAACTTGCACAAGTTATAGTTTGAAGGTGGCAAGAGGATGCTATTTTGAAAGTGGAAATGAAAGTCATATATGCGGATCTGGTGTATGGAGGAGATAGATGATAGATAATATATATTTGCCTTTCTAAGAATACACACACACACATCCGGGCTATATCTTCCTGATTTAACCCAGCAAACTATTGGTCCAACCTAACTAAACCATATTATATTAATTTATCAAGGCTGTAGAAGTCCAATTTGAAACAGGAATCATTTAGAAATGAATTCTCAGGTCTTGAACTAATTTTGCCCCCTGTGTGTGGGTACACATATACCCCCCTTCACATGTATATATTAAAAATAATAATTATGTACTAGATTGTGTGCTTGTGTATCGGGGGGGGGGGGTGCTATGAAAATAGGCAAATGTCATTTTTCATTTCAATATGCACCGTACTTGACAATGATTGAAATAGCAAAGCATGGATAACTAGGTCAGTACTGAAACAAAGTCTGTCATTTTCTCAATAAGCATGAATGCCGGAGATCAGTTTTCTCATGCGTAGTAAGAACGTTCTGGTATTTTATGTGAGTGGCAGATTAACCACATCTGCACAGGTCACGATAGCTAGAAAAGGCTCCAAGTCTATAGAGTCTTCATAGAAGGAAGATTTGAGAAAGCGTTGGTAATGTTTTAATTGCCCTGTCCTTCAGTAGTTCCAGGATGGATCCTGATTTCATGGTTGGGCTCAGATACTCCTCTAAGTGTGTCGACCTGAACATGCTTAGGTGCTCCTCCAATTTCCTTGCTTTCAGTGCAACAAGGTTTGGGCAGCTCTCATGGGATGGTGACATTTGGGATAGGACCTGCACACTCACTCACTTGTAACCCTACTACAGTCGCCACAAACATGTTGCTTGAATGCCAAAATAGGATTATATAGTATCGTGAAGCAGAAGTAGCTAGCCACAGCTCTGAAAGGCATGGATTATTGTTGTTATTATTATTTATGCTACTGATAAGAAGGGAGAAATGATAAAATCAGCACTGATCCACAGAGGTCTCTTGACTAGAAATTCACCTGAATTGCCAGCTCACATAAAAATGGGTTATACAAACTGATATTTGGGCTTGTTTTTGCTGACGTACTTGCAGTGGCTGAGAGCAAAAATGTTTTAAAGATTCAAACCAAAGGTCAGTTTTCAATTATAGCGTTTCACAGATTTCAGAGACATGGATAATCTGGTTAGTTTTATATTGAAATGAAGCACTGAGGTTTTGTTCATCATGGTGATTTAAAAGTGGATTTTGTGTTTGTTTTGGTGACTTCTCTTTTTTTGAGTTTCTCTCTGTATGTACAGTATATGGAAAATCAGTGGGGCACAAGGAATGGAAAGATATATATATTTTTAATCAGTAATTAGTTAAAATGGAAGGATTTGTAACTCAGCAATATATGAAGTTATTAAACTGCTTGCTTAGCATAAGTGCATATTCTGAGATCTAGTTTGGGTAGAAGATTGTTAGGTCTAGGGCCTTATCTCTGGTCATTATGGGCGTAGCCAGGATTTGGGGTGGGGGGCAGAACCGAAGTGGTTGGTCAGTTAGTTAAGTATTTCTATTTTTTTAACTTGATCATGGGAGCAAGCTGCCTCCCATTGGCCCCCTCCCCCGCAGCTATGCCCATGTTGGTCATTCATCTTTTCTGCTAGAATTTTCCTTTCAGTAGTGTCTTCAAGGCAGGCAGAATCCTAGGAATTAATTCCTGGTCTTCATCCACACATACACTCTCAGCTCAGAGCAGCAAAGCAAACTGATGTTTCACCTAGTTAGGCTGCTGGTTATTGACTTAGATACCTTTTTTCCTCTTTAATGTTGTCATTTGTTTCATTTCAGAGATAGGGGTCAGATTTTCAATTGGACATTTATTTATTTTATTTATTTTAAATATTTTTATACCTTATTTGAAATAAAAATTACCAAAATGGTATACAAAGGCTAAAACATCAAATAAAGGCAAAAAAAACAGACATATAAACATAAAAGCAACTGTATTTATATATCACCTGAAAGGGAAAAACAGAAAAGTTTTAACAAAGAGGGAATCATTAAAATCTGAGATGGACGGGGGTTTCAATATTCTGGGGCCGCAGCAGAAAAGGCCTTGTTTCTTGTGGAAGATAATCCAGCCTTCACATGTGATGCAGTCTTTAACAGGGTCTCATTATGACTTCTTAGTGGGAAGGGAACTCATATGGGAGAAGGTGTCCTCTGGGATAATAAAATAAATTCTGAGCCCAGAAATGTATTAGTTGCCAGTGTAGCTGTTTTGAAATAGGTACAGGTGACGACCATTTTGCGTGGGGGTTCCGTTCCCAGACCCCACATGCATCGACGAAGCACCCCGCTACTCTGTTCCGCCTGTATCCTTCCCTCTTCTGGGTCCAAACGGATCCACACATCGGCGATTGCACATCCTTTGGATGTGCCTAAAATGTTCACTGCTGACAAAAATGGTTTGAGCTAATCAGTAACTGAACTGTCGCATTTTTCAGCAGCTGAAGTGTCTGAATTATCTTAAAGGGCAGCCCAATGTATATTGCATCACTGTAACTCAGTATGGAGGCAAGCAAAACAGAAATAAAAGTGGCCAGGTCTCTTGTCTTCTAGGAAGTGCAGGTGCTATGTGAGCCAGTGTCAGTCTGGGCATATACCGTATTTTTCGCTCCATAAGATCCACTTTTTTCCTCCTAAAAAGTAAGGGGAAATGTCTGTGCATCTTATGGAGCAAATGTGTGGTCCCTGCAGCCGAATTGCCCTGGGGCAAAAAGCAGATCGTGCTTTTTTTTTTTAGAAAGAGGGAAGGGGGTGTTGAAACAAAGCCGCTGAGTAGCTGATCAGCAAGCGATCAGGAGGGACATAAGGGACTCTAGATATAAAGGAGGCTGCCTGGAAGGGGGGAGGTAAAAGCACATGGATCCTCAGGATTTTTGCACTGGGTCATCATCAGATCACATAGCGTGTCCATGGCTACAGCCTGCACCAAAAAAATCACACATCCACTTTTTCGTGGGGCCGCAATGGCGCAAAACCGTGGTTACAAAGCAGGGATCCACATGGATTCTCAGGATTTTTGCATTGGGCTACCCCAAACTCACCGTCAAATCGCATATCATGTCTGTGGCCACAGCATGAACCACAAAAATCATACACCCACTGTTTCGTTCAGAATATTTGTTTTCTTGTTTTCCTCCTCTAAAAACTAGGTGCGTCTTATTGTCAGGTGCGTCTCATGGAGCGAAAAATACGGTAACTGCAAACCTGGACCTCCAGGAGCTGTGCTGGTTCCATTTTGTTAGAGTGTGATCCCATATAGAAAAAGTGTTCCCCAACCAAGATGGTCAAGGGTCTGGAAACCAAGCCTTGTGAGGAGCAGTTGAAGGAGCTGGGTATGTTTAGCCTGGAAAAGAGGAGACTGAGAGGAGATATGATAGTCGTCTTCAAATAAATATCTAAAGGGTTGTCACATGGAAGATAGAGCAAACTTGTTTTCTCCTGCTCTGGAGAGTAGGACCCAAACCAATGGCTTGAAGTTACAAGAAAGGAGATTTTAGAACCATGGGTTTTTGTTTTTTTGCATTTCCTGTGTTTTGAAAGCTGCACTTTCTCTTCTCTTAATAGATTCAGGATTACCTACTTCTCTTTTAAACCTGTGTAACAGAGACTCTTAGCATTCTGCACAACAAACCATAGCTGGAAATAAAGTGCATATAGGCTGTGACTTTAGGGACCTAGCAAGTGAGGCTGGAAGCACCTGATGCTATAGTGTTGCCGAATCTGAGCATGTGTGAATCTAGTCAGTGTGGTGTAGTGGTTAAGAGCGGTAGACTCGTAATCTGGGGAACCGGGTTCGTGTCCCTGCTCCTCCACATGCGGCTGCTGGGTGACCTTGGGCCAGTCACACTTCTCTGAAGTCTCTCAGCCTCATTTACCTCACAGAGTGTTTGTTGTGGGAGAGGAAGGGAAAGGAGAATGTTAGCTGCTTTGAGACTCCTTCGGGTAGTGATAAAGTGGGATATCAAATCCAAACTCTTCTTCTCTTCTCTAGTCAGACCCTTCAATGGAGAGTCACTGGAGCTCCACATGGGATGGGATATTAGTGTAACAAATAAACATTTAAACAAATTATTAGTGGATCCTTGTATCCCTATTTTAGCTGGCTAGATTTGGCAGGCTCCAGTTTTGTTTGTGGAAAACACCAGTGCCCTCTAGAGGGGAATTCACAAAGCTTTGACAAAATGTTCCAAATGAAACATCAAATAAAATGTTATGTGTGTCCTAAAGGGTTAAAAAAACACAACCCCCCCCCCAAAAAACCCCCATCATCTTTAACTAGCAGATGGTGTAGGGTGGAGAAGTATAGTTCACCTTTGTTTCCAACAGCTATGTCATTGCTATGAAGAATAATACTAGAGACAATATCAACATAGCAGTGAAGCCATAAATATATATATCTATAGGATAAGAACAGATGAAACCTTTGGAAATGAAACATTTGAAAACCTTTGTAACAGTATTTACACTTTAAACTCTTGTCTGGCTTTCTTAATG